AAAAGTATTCAGTAACTTAATCCAAGTACCACAATATAAAAGTAATGTAATCTGATTACTTTTGGATTACTTCAAGTTACATATGTAAATAAGTCAAAAAAGCAATATCTAAGTACATTTATTTAACTATGACTTTCAAATTAAAATTAATAAAAACTACAGTAAAAACTATTTGAAACTATTAAAAATTGTGTCTTGTTTCACCATCTAGATATTACAGGCAGTATATTTATATAAAAGACTATGCAGACATCTAGTGGCTATACAATTTAGTATTACAGTATTATTATTATTATTATTATATTTCTTTAACATGTACAAGTAAAAATAAATATAGTTTATACACAACATTAAACAATTCACACCATATACATATTAGTCTATTTTAAAATAAGCCTACATGTCGAAATGCATGTGAAATGCTATGATCTTTCTTTCATTGTCTGATCCGGGGTGTGGGGACTCTCATGTTAATTTCTACATTTTCAGGCTCATTTTCTGCTTGAAAACTTACAGCTGCAGTCATGCACACCATCATGGAATTTTAAATCACTAACAAACACTAAATGTTAGCTAACATGATGATTTCCATGCTAGTCGGACTTGTACCTGCAAATGTTCAAGTTGGTTGAGTAGCCTTTGTTAAAGCAAGAATCTTCACGCATAGCTTACGCTGTACAACTATGTTATTTTCTTTATCCTCTTTAAAAAACAAAATAACTGTGAAATTTCCAGACATGAAAACGTTTTTCACAGCAGGAAGCATCGTAATTAATTTACTGTAGCAGTCATCCCGCGTTTGAGGAGAATAATTGTAGATGGGTGTTATTTGCGCATGCACCACCAGGCGGCTCACGTGAGTCAACATGTGTCAACAGAACGTCTCAGGTTACGTATGTAACCCTGGTTCCTCGAGGGAACGAGTCGCTGCATCGGAAAACGTTAGGGGAACGCCTTCTGTGACCACGCTCTGAATAACATGTGAAATCAGTCCAATAGCTGAGCGGGACGTCACGGGCGGGTGACGTCATGACCAGGAAGCTATAAAAGCACGTGTGGCGGAGCCAGCGTCAGCTTCAGGAATGAGGCAAGCGCTGGCAGGGATGCCGGAAGTATGGCACCGAGACGCAGCGTCTCGTTCCCTCGAGGAACTAGGGTTACATACGTAACCTGAGACGTTCCTCTTCAGGAACTCGAGCTGCGTCGGAAACGCTAGGGGAACGAGAATGCCCACGCCGCCAGACTTCCAAATCTCTGCCTAGTGTGGAAGACTGCACAGCTAGGGCGAGAGAAGTAGGCGGGGCCCGCCATCCCGAAGGCCAACTTCTGGAGGAGTGAATCTTGACCCCCAAAGGATAGGGGAGATCAGAGGACTCGAGTCTATGGAATAGCATCCTGATCCACCACTTAGCATAAGCTTCTCTGGCCAGAGGCCTCGGCCTC